TGGATATGTAGATTTACCGATGTCGTCGAGGTAAGATGTTGAAGTGACGAGTGTGTTAGGAGAGAATGACTGATGGTGAAAAAAGCTTAGGTCATGTCATATGACAGACAGTTGACTAAAACATAACAACACGCAATATGGGAGATGTAAAACTCAGGTATCGAGTACATATTGCTAAAACCCTGGGTAGTACCTACCTACCCTACTAAGGTAGGTACAGAAAGATGCCTCATCCCAGTGTTGCTGGCTGGAGCGGCTGTAACTGAGGTTTGAGCTAAGTTGAGGTGAGGCAGATGAAGTAAGGTACCCAAGTCCAGGTCGTGACTTCCCTGGTAAGAAGCGGGGCACTCGACGTAGCTAGGAATGGATGGAATGAATGGGAGGAGGGGCAAAGAGGAACAGCGAAGAAGGCGCCGGTTGTCCTGTGTACGTCAGGTCCCTTCCCGACTTTCGGTGGAATCCCCAATCTTTTTCTAGTTTGCTGCTGCTCCCTCGTCCTTTTCCTTTTCTTTTCCTTCTCTTCATTCATCTTATCCTTACATCTCTCAACCAAACTTTCCACGATACATACGACTTAATACCATTCATCATGTCTTCATCTCTCGAGCAGCTCAAGGCCACCGGCACTGTACGTCACCCCACCACAACCCCTCCATGTCATTATGATCGCGACCAAGAGTAAAGAACGAGTATCATCTTTAAGCTCGGTATGAAATGACAACTTGAGCCAATTGAGTCCATTGCTCGCTCAACCTTGGTCACATCATGCTTGATTGTTTTATGCGGCTCGTTCCCACGAACATCTTGTTTGGGATGATTTGATAGCTAACCATTTGCTTTTACGCCGCAATAGACTGTTGTGTCCGACTCTGGTAATTACCGCATTCTCCAGCATTACAAAGTTCTATGCTAACTTTTCCTTCTTAGGTGACTTTGTCTGTTAGTATTCAACCCCGTTGCTCAATGCCCGAATCTACCACATTCATTGTTTCGACGCAAAGCTACACCCTTTTACCCACTCGATAAATCCCGTCATGATCATCATGACATGGCATGACATGATAGAATTCACAATGCTAACTACTCTTCTCAACAGCCATTGGCAAATACAAGCCTCAGGATGCTACCACCAACCCTTCTCTCATCCTCGCTGCTTCTAAGAAGGAGGAGTACGCTAAGCTGATCAACGTCGCCATCGACTACGCTAAGCAGAAGGGTGGCTCTATCGACCAGCAGGTTGATGATGCCCTCGACCGTCTCCTCGTTGAGTTCGGCAAGGAGATTCTCAAGATCATCCCCGGCAAGGTCTCCACAGAGGTTGACGCTCGTTACTCTTTCGACACCGAAGCCTCCGTCAACAAGGCTCTCCACCTTATTGAGGTAAGTTATCGTAGTAGTGCAACATACTGGCGACAGCACTAACACAATTTAATAGCTCTACGGTGAGCAGGGCATCTCCAAGGACCGCATTCTGATCAAGATCGCTGCCACCTGGGAGGGTATCAAGGCTGCTGAGATCCTCCAGCGTGACCACGGCATCAACACCAACCTCACCCTGATGTTCTCTCTCGTCCAGGCCATCGGTGCCGCCGAGGCTGGCGCTTACCTCATTTCACCCTTCGTCGGCCGTATCCTTGACTGGTTCAAGGCCTCCACCAAGAAGGAGTACAGCAAGGAGGAGGATCCTGGTGTCCAGTCTGTTAAGCAGATCTTCAACTACTACAAGAAGTACGGCTACAACACCATTGTCATGGGCGCCTCATTCCGAAACACTGGCGAGATCACTGAGCTCGCTGGCTGTGACTACCTGACCATCTCTGTATGTTAACTAAAAGTATGGACTGAAACACATGCTAACATATTAAACAGCCCAACCTGCTCGAGGACCTCCTCAACTCCTCCGAGTCTGTCCCCAAGAAGCTCGATGCTTCTCAGGCCTCTTCTCTAGACATCGAGAAGAAGTCTTACATCAAGGACGAGGCTCTCTTCCGCTTCGACTTCAACGAGGACCAGATGGCTGTTGAGAAGCTCCGAGAGGGTATCAGCAAGTTCGCTGCTGACGCTGTAACTCTCAAGGGCATCCTCAAGGAGAAGCTTGCCTAAATTTCTACGCACCTGAAGGGGTAAGAAAATGATTTAAAAGTTACAAAACTCCCGTCGAGGAAGAAGCAGTATTGAGTTGATTGCGAACAATGAGCTTGTATCTGCATGCAGGCGATCTTTATTGAAGGTTGCCGATTATACCACATACCTACTCTAGTCTAAAACCACCTAGCCTCACGTAAGTGAAGGCAATGTGGTGATTAACGGTCTGATAGGGACATCAGATGTCCATGGAAACAGATAGTGGCTACATAACGAATTGAGACGACACGTTACGCCCAACGCTCATGGTATTGCAACGCAACGTGAATGACTAGGTATTGTAGAGTACATGAATAGACTCCAGTTTCAAAGTCGTGACAAGAAAGCAGCTAAATCCCTATAACCAATCCACTAACGCCACCCGAGTCCAATACGCAATTCACCGCCATGGTATCATCCCAATAATCATGGTTAATCATGGAGTATGATATCGCTACTAACAAATAATTATTTTGAGGCATCGGGTATCACCACCAACCCTTTTTGCACGTAACTTGGTGAGTAGAGTGTTTCCAACCCCCTTCCTCATTGGCCTGAACAACCAATGCTGTCAAAGCATTACCCTTGACGCAGCCCGAATCCAAGCCAAACGTATAAGAATCCTCCTGGTAGCCCATCTTGGCGTCATGGCCATATATAACAGAACGGCGCTCATGCCCGGGTAGCTTTTTTTGCTCCTTGTTCCATAGCTTGGTCCACCGCTCGCCTTCATGCCCATCAATAGGGAGCCAGATATCGCGATCAGGGTTGGTACGTTCCAAGTCAACATTTTCGTCAGTCGACGATGCGGTGCTTGTAGTGTCGGCCTCTGCAGGTTTGACCTGAACGGCATGGGCCTGCGAGTCGGCGCCCTGTAATCCGGGGATAGACCTTCGCTGAAGGGAGGCTGCTGCCTCCTGTGCCTTCTCCAACTCTTTCTGCCGCTGTTTCTCTGCTTGCTTGCGCTTCTTTTCAATTTCCTTCTTGCGAAACTCCTCGCGGGGAAAGCGCAAGGTGCGCATGTTCATGGCAGCCCAGGCATCTTGTTGCGGCAGAGGCACGCCTGGGACGAGGCCAGCATGGACGAAATAGAGGGCCATAGGCTCGGCTGACAAGATGACGGGCAATCTCTTGAGCCATGTCATTTGTGGTTCAGTCAGACTGCGCGCTGTTTTCAGGTCCTCCCCTTCCCCTCTGTGTTTAGCGGCACTTTCGGAATCGAGGTAGGCAGCAACACCTTGTTGACTACTGAGGCCGCGCCATGCGAGAATTACGCGATCTTCGTGATTCCCGCGCACAGCGCTGGCTTTGATCTCCATCAGACGAGCAATGACTTCAGAAGACTTGGGGCCCTTGTTGATCATGTCGCCGACCGCAATAACGTGATCGGTTTCTGGGTCGAATTTGATCTTCTTGAGCAGTTTCTCGAAAGGGTCTAGCATGCCGTGTATATCGCCCACCACGACCAGTCGCCGTCCATTTTTTGGTGTTGGTATGTATTCGCTGGGCAGGTTCCTGACAAGGTCGATGCCATCGTAGCTCGGTCGGTTGTACATTCCGTAGGACATGGGATTATCGGCTTTCAACAAGTCGACTTGCGGAACTGGGTCTGGTTCTTCGACTATTTTTGGTCCAACGGACAATGCTGCAAGTTGCGAGACGCAGTAGAAGACGCTGAATACGAAAAAGAAGGTCGACAGGAGGACGAGTAACCGCCGCTGTGGTGCGGTAATCATCATGACCATGATTCGTGGCGGGGCGAATCGGAAAGCAAAGGTACTGTAAAGGTGAAGCGAATTGACGTTGGGGATGGGGGTACAGCTATGACGACAATGGTGGACAGGGCGACATTACCCAATCCGGCGAGGCGACAATACCGGACTTGACTTGACTTGACGTGTAGGGTTAGAGATAGACTTGGCCCAGGCAAAACAAGGAGAGTGTAAAGGTAGTTTCGAGGGAAACAGTCGACGCAGCGATCTAGATTCAAGCGAACTTCTCAGGCGGCTATGGTGAGACTTTCCAAGCACCAAAAATGATAGCACTCAACGCGGATAGGATAGGATAGCCCGGTAAGACAAATTGATGTTATGAGGAATGCAAAGGAAGAAGAATAGGTAGATTGATTCTAAATCTACTAAAGAACTTGAGATAGGTGCCACTATTGTTCTTTCCCAACCATGGTATTTCTAAATCAGCATGCCAAGCCTTCTATGGCTGTAGGATGAGGATTCGTAGACGTTCCATCGATCGATGGCGCCAAGTACGGATGTGTACGAGGGAGGACAATTCTCCGGGTAGACCAGGAACAGGACCGGGAATAAACTGGAGTGTTGTTGTTCCGGCATTGTCTAGTATGTGTCTGTTTGGAGCCTCAGATTCGATGTTCAAGTAATATGGATAGACAGGCTTTATGTTTTGAAGAATGAAACGAGATGAAGAGTTTGAAGGCGTCCCGAACTTTTATTTTCTTGCGCCACGTCACACCAGCCTTCGTTTGAGAGGTCGTGTGGTATTCAGGCATGATTCACAGCTACTTAAACGGTTGCCTTGTCTAGTAGAAAACACGTTATTGGATATATGTAGCTTGATGACTGTGAACACCTACTAAGGTAGGTTGGCACCTAGTTGTACGCTACAAGATACGGATATTGTACAAATACGACGATGGAGTAGAGACCACCTATGTTCATCGTCGCAGTACATATGCACCGTCCCAGAGACTGACCTGATCCAACACAGCTGAGCAAAGTCTTCTCCGATTTGTTGTTCTTCATATTATGATCTTAATTCCGACATGGTCTTCGTAAATCGTTGATTGCTGTAGTGATTCGACGGAAGCGAACCGCCTGGTTTGAGATCAGAATTCCGTTCTCTCATTTCTTCTGCTGTGCCATTGCTGCCTGCTCGGCCTTCCACTTCTCATTCTCGACTTCTCTCCAATCTTGGGGAATGGGCTCGTTTCCGTCCGTCTTCTTGACACCGCCTGCAAAGGCCGGCCGCCCAGCGTAGAGCTGGTATCCATGGCCCTCCTCAGCCTGCTCCATCGTACGGTAAGCCACGGGCATATTGCCGCGGAATCGCTTGCGCATATCGACCATGCCACGCTTGCATTCGCCGAAGCCCTTCTTCAGCTGGCGGCACTTTAGGGGGAGAGTGTCGACGAGGGGTTCGCGGAGGCAGTCGCCGGCGCTATTGCGCTGAACCATGACACACTCGGATTCTTGGAGACACTGCGCGAGTGCCTCGCCTGGATAATAGCAATTGAGCGTTAGAATTAACGGACTGGACTAGATTTGAAAGGGTCAGTTGAGTGAGTAGCTTACGCAGTTCTTTACATGAGCTGGGCATTTTGGGTGTAAAGGTGTCGGCTGTGTCAATGGCACCACAGCTCGGGTCATGTAACTTGACTATCAAGTCGAAAAGCTCATGAGACTTCAAAGGGTAGTTTTGCGGTCGATATGTGATTGGTTACTGTCGTCTTCGGGTATAACACGGCTTTATTGAAAACCGTCCAAATGTACATCAGTATAGCCAAATGCTCAAGTTGGGGGTTTTAAAACTATGATTATTTAGAAGGCTATCAAACTTTGAGGAACACCCCATCATATAATTATTTAGAAGAAGCTATACACAGAAAGTATTGCATTTTACTGTGTGTCGATCTCCCGTTCTTCCTTGACCTGGCAGCGTGGTCACGGTCATCCCATCCCATACGTGCTATTCTGTTGAGACATTGACTGTAGATAATATTGTAAAGTCAATTACATTGACACTCTCAACCTCTCTGATGCCATGCAATGTTAGTTAAACTCTCCGGCCCCCGAATCCTGCTGCATGCCTTACCTCGCTTGTATTCGGAACTTTGGCCCCTTCCTCTGCATTATCAAAAGCACGCTCAATCCTCCCCTTCACAACATCGATGACAGTCCATCTCTGTTCCCTCCCCGCCCTAGCCCCCATCTTACTTTCCCAAACTCCCATCTCATCCAACAACACCTCCACAGCCCATACCATCTTAGCCTCCTCTCCAGAGCGCGGTTGGACTACCAGCTCTGCAACTGTTCTCTTCTTGGGGATCCTAGTACATAAAATGTGCAAATCCAGTAGCTGAGTGAAAGAAAGACCAAAGTTAGGTTTGGTTCGTCGACTACTGTAGCCTGTAGCTGAGGGTGGGTTGAAGATGGATCGTAGAGTTGGGTCGATGAAGGCTTGTTTCGCAGGAGAGGTTGCAGTGGTGGTAGACGCTGGGCCCGAGAAGCTTGATGATGTGGAGTTGAGTAGAAGAATCAATGGGTTAGACGGGAGATTGCGTGAGAGGTCGCGTAGGTGAGAACCTAAAAGCTGAAGAGAAGTACGGGCGGCTGACCTCTCTCGGTGAGCAAAGAGGCTTGTGAGAAGCGAGGAGAAATGCGTCATCACAATAACCTCTGGATGCTGTGCTGCTTCGCTGGGCAGCTTTTCCTCTTGCAGTGGGGGTTGTGAAGCTTGCTGTATGGGCGAGAACGCCTCATCGTCTTCGTCCTGACTGTCCTGGATCTCTTCAACCTGTGCCTCTGTTGCGACTTGCTTCTGTGTCTCCTTTTCTTGGTGTAGTGAAACGGCTTCTTCTTCAACTGGTGCACTTCGATCCAGATCTGCCAAGACCTCCCATAGACCATCCAAATCAAATACTCGAGACAGCAGCACTTTGTCAAGACATTCCCTCAATCTTGCCTTGATATCTTCGGTGCCTGCTCGTTTCTGAAGCTCTGCCTTGATTGCGTCCCTTAAACCAGTCAGCATTACGCTCGTTGGCTTGGGCGTAATGAGCAGTCCATTCGTGACTGTCCCCTCACATAAAGAATGCGCCAGTGTTTGGAGGCCGAGCTTGTAGACAAGGAAAATCAGCAAAATGGCCTTTTCAGAAGCATTTCCTTGGCTCTGCGTTTTTCTCACCTGAACACCCAATTCTTCGTCCTCGGCGCTGACGCCCACAATACTTGCACGATCAAAACCACCCAGTAAAACATCCTCATCTACAACTACACAGCCTGTCTTACAGGAACCCAGGAGTGCGACAGCATCACGTCTATGAGCTTCCTTTTCGGCCAGAACCGAGGCTGGAATTGGCTCTAGTGGAAAGTGGGAGTTCGCTTGTGAGGGAGGCTGTGGCGAGTTCATCGAAAAACTAAATTTCGACAGTGTTTATGGAAGGGGTAAGTTGGCGAGAGTTTATAGATATTGGATTGGAAGCCAGTCCAAAGAAAACACATGTACTACAGGAACCATGCACCAAAATTGTCCCTTCCCAATTAATAATTAACCGCTACATCTAAGGCAGCCCCATTCTTGAACTTTCATGTGAAAATCATTTATCAGTGCTAACACGAACTTTTACATGCACATAGCTTGAGGTACTCGACTGTACACAATGATCAATAACGTGGTATTTGTTTGCAATGATGCGTCCGCAATTTAGACCTTAAGTCCTGATATAAAACATACAAAAAAGGGTTCCGTGACAGCCTTCCAGATCTCTGCAGCCCCATTTCTTTCTTGGTATCATGACATTACCATCAGCGGCCTTTGAGGTCTCGGGGGGTTCTGCTTCAAGACCTGCCTTGATTTGAATCTCCAAAGACTGAGCAAGCAACCTTGTCCGTGGGGTTTGTTTTCCTATAAACCATGCTGTCGTCGCACCCTGAGAAAAATAAAACAATAGGAGAAGAAAAAGAAGGGGGGCGAAACATTTGTTTGGTCTGCATCTGCGTAGACCAGACAGATCTATCTCATGGCATTCTCATGTCACTTCCTCGGACTAATCCGCCCTCGCTCGAGACTTTTCTGGACCTCTGTTACACATCGGAATGGCGTAGCCTGTTGTGTATGAGCCGAAGGATGTGTTTTAGGCCTCTCTATGTCCCTTGGCGCAGCATTCTCTTGGTCCCGCATAGGTAGGTTGTTGTTCCACCCACTCTCACTCATGTCTTCCTCCTTGTTCTTTAAAAGACTGCCCTGTCTGAACTGCCGTCGTACGGAAGTTCGGCTTGCGTCAAGGAGTCGCCCGGCACCTGTCTTCCACTAAACAGCCGTTCCGGGTACACTAGGACCGTTGCTAGGGATCTCTGGCCGGGTCTTACGGCCCTTCAGACTCTTCATTCGTCCCATGAGCCCTGTCGGCTTGGCCGGGGCTTCGTCCAGTGTGGTGGTGGCATCAGTTGTTACTCGTCTCTCCAGGACTGCACCGGCAGAGGGGCGCCTCGCTCCTGGAGGGCTGTTGGCTGACATAGATCCATCGCGTTGTCTAACATTGATGCTTTCCTCTCCTTTACCAAACTCGGCAAAGAAGGGGTTGTTGTCAGAGCCAGTACTTGCGGCTGTCGGGTATGCATCGGGTGTAATCCTGGAGTATTCACGACCTGACTGGTTGTAGTCTCGAGGACCCTTGTTGATGTGACGGATGCGCTGTGCCAGCGATTTCTTTCGCTGCAGGCCGCCCTCGGCCGTTTCTTGGGCTTGCTCGGCCTGGTGGCGCTGGATAGCACTTCGTGCGGCAGGTGTACCTTCTAAGAATGTGGAGGTGCCTAGACCAACCGATTCGTCACCGTGAACGATCTTGTCACGGCCCGAAGCATCAAAAATGGCCGGCTCTTTCTTGGGTTTGGTAGGGGCGGCGAAATCTCTGAAAGCTTCCTCTGTGGCATTACCCATGAGAACTGAATGGTCAGCCCGGGCATTGAGAGGCCCCGCGCCGCCAAGTGAGTTGTTAAGGGAGTCCTTGGGGAAGGCCTGCATTGGCGCACGCCTTGCGTTTTGGCGGTTTCGATGAGGGTTCAGCGCGTCAAAGGGGCCGTCATGATGGAAAACTTGGCCATGTTAGCAGACACCAAATGGATTGGGAGACACGAAAAGAGACATACCTCCAGTCCCATAAATACTCGTGGCGTCGAGTTGATCAATGATGTCCATCCTACGACTGGGGCGGCTGGACCTCTCCTTGTCACCCCGCTCACGACGTTCACGATCACGATCGCGGTCACGGTCGCTCCTATCGCTCCGTTCCTTACCCTCTCCGCGGCGCTGCTGTTCGTATCTACGTCGTCTGGCCGCTTCAATCATTCGCTTCTCCTCCTCTGTGATAGGGCGCGCATCAAAGTCGACCAGAGAGGATTCAGAGTTCCGCCGGGTGCGTCTTGGTGGGTCCTTTCTTTGCGGTGAGCTTTGTTGGGGTTGAGGTCCAGGACCTTGCATCCTGCGAGCACGAAGTGCTTCTTCTTGAGAACGCGTTGGGCGATGTTTGCCATCTTGAGGTGGTGGTGCATTTCCGTCACGTCGTGGGGGCGGGCCGTTCGCCGGTCGACGAGGGGCTTGCTGTTTTGCTTGATTCTGGTTTGAATCGTCTAGTGTCATAGAATTCTGCTTATACATAAACGTTAGCTTGGGGGATAAATTATTTGTGGCTAAAGGAATGGATATGTGATATGGTTCTGCGAAGTACACGTCGATAGTGAAATCAAAAGAATTGTTCAATACGTACAAAGATCTCCTCGGCTGATAGAGACTTGGAATCTGAGTGAGATGACATGGCGCCGGGTGACCTCAAAGGCTGGGATAGCAAATCGACAGGCGGCGAGTCGAGAAATGGATTTCGTGACAATGGTCGTGGGGGAGGGTCGTCGAAGGGCGACGAGGGTTTGCTAGAATAAAGAAGGTCGGCGCTGGCTGGAGATGGTGCGCGATTGCGAAAGGGGTTGTTAGAGGATAAGTTAAGTGTGAGTCCGGGAGATTGGCCGCCTGCTTCCAAGAAAACTATCAGCTTGCATTACAGACAGACAAACGGGCGCGTACGTGTAATGACGACGACAGATGAACCAAGATGAAACAAACAATCTCCTCAGCATGACACAGAATGAAGCCAGCCAAGTGGATCAGAAAACAAGTTCGCTTATGTATTGTTCCGCCAAGTTGCTTTGCAATGCATCCAATCTTGCTTCCTGGATCCAATATTCTTTGTTTGCAGGCTCAAGCGCCAACGTTTGGCAGATATCGGGTGCAAATCCAAGCGAAACTGGAGGGGAGGGGAGAGTTTGTGCATGGAGTGTTTGTCGCAGATCACATCAAAGCGAAATCAAGGGGCGGGCGCTTACCGGACTGGAAAGATTGTGCAGTAGACATGATTGCAAAGGGGTCAAGCTTGGGCTATGTGTTTCTGATTTGAAGATCCAGGAGAGGATGCGGAGCCCAATCGACCAAAGTTAGAAGAAAATGGCAGATTGTCCCGTCACCGTTGCAACGCAGAGTTGGGCACTGCGTCACGAATGTCGTATACAAGCGGGAGATAAGACGTTAGCTGGCAAAAAGCAAGATTGGTAGCGACGTGCCAAGTATTGGATTGTGAAGATCTGGGAGTGGTAAAGCACGTAGCTCAGGATGGGTTAAATTCCTTTGACCTAGAAGCTCAGACCTAGCGTCATGCCGGTTCGACAGGAACACTGTACGCCACCCGAAAGTGAGTTGAATCCCCGTTCGACTGTGTTCAGGCACGGGGCGGGTCAGAGGCCCAGGGCTCGGAAAGGGGCTGGCTGCGTGTGATCGCCCAGACGGTGGAAGGTATCAGCCAAAATTCAGATGACCCGTGGGGTCGAAGATGGTCGGATGGTTTGAGCCCGGGAAACCAAGTGGTACAGTGCCACCACGTGCGAATAAATGCTCGGCTTTTTGCAGAATGCTTTTTGGAGAGGCTAAGAACCCGTGAAGTCGACAGCAAAAGATACCGATGAAGGGGCGCTCGATTTGCGGGTGCCTGAGTAGTCCAACTAGTTAGGGTCGTATGGTGCGAATGACCAATGGGCAAAGCGGGGCAGGTCAATGCTTGCGGCTGTTGACTTGGGCTCAAAAGGCGGGACTGGCAGGGGCAGCGAATTGACCACTAGAGTGTGTAGGACGATGTCGCCTAACAGGGGTAAGGTATAGCAAAGTGATGGTTTCAGGGTCCAGGTAGGCTCGATCGTTGTGAAGCCTGGTTAAGTTTTTAACGGTTGAAAGCGAAAGTCAATGATGTTTCCAGTTGGTACTCGGCGTTGAGGTAAAGCAGTGGTGTATCCTGAGCGATGGTTGATGACCAGCTTGACGAGACAACAAAAGCAATTGACAAGCTGGGGCGTAAACCGGAAGGATGGAGCTTGAAAGCGAGGTCGGGGTTCCAGATGATTCAAGCTTGAGTGATGACGGAATAAGATGGTCAAGAGCCAAACTGAGGATAGAATGGAATAGAATAGAGTCGGGACGATGGATACTGCGTGAGCGATATGTTGCCGTAAGTCGGTGTTGTTGAGTTGCCAGAATGCGTAGCGTGACGTTCGTCCTTACATGTCCAACAACGATGCTGTGGTAAAAGAATGAAGAACAGTCAATCCCAGGCAATCGGATGCTGAGAGACAGGAGAAGGTAAAGGTCACAAGAAAGGAGCGTCCGAGGGCAACTTGAGCGACGGCCAGAAAAGTGAATGTTGCAGAGTTGAAGATGAAAGAAGATGGGAAAACAATCAATGGAGAGGAAGAAAGATGGAGACACGGGAGCCGTCGGCGAAGTTAGGAACTATTGTCTGCTACCTGGGTAGGCAAGAGTACTAAGGTAGGTACATACAAATAGACTACCACCTTCTGTAAAAGCCAGGACAAATGGGGAAATGGGGCTCCTGTTTGTTAAGTTTTGGTGAAGCCAGTCGGTGAACGTGGAAGGAGTCAGTCAGTAAGGTAGGTTATTCAAGTCAGGTCAGGTTAGGTTCCCCTACCTGAAGTTGGGGTAACCATGGAAGGTGTCGGCAGAGACGGGCCCGGGGGTATGAGAAGAGCAATATTTAGAGTGGTCAGCATAGACTGCAATTGGCTCAGCTGAGTCGAAGTCAGCTTGACCCAGACCAAATCTAGGTATCTTGTGTGCATATTTACGTTGATAAAATGCCTGTTGGGGGATAGAATCCGAAGGGAAGCTTGTGCCTACGGCTACGGTTTTGACAATTGCTTATTACAAACATGGAAGTGAATGGGTACCTCCTTTACAATTGGCATCCAAGTTTGAGACCTCACAGCCTTATTTCAACTACCCGTTCAGTCTCTCATACCGTGCCTCGGCAGGTACTTTGCGAGTGGTTGAATTTAATCACAGTACGATATCGAAAA